GGATGAATACTGAGGATGGGCACTCACCGTTCACTATCGTTGATACCCTTCAAGAGCAAGTACGATATCCATATCCGCCTGCCAGTCCTCTTAATACGATCATCTAGAACGTCGAACACCTGAGCGACAACATCCTCCCACTGCGACCAATACACTGCCTTACCTTGGCGAAAGGGTAGACCCTCTGAATAGGCATAATCTTCTCTCGCTCTTCTGGGAAGGGACTATGCAAAGAATAGGCCACATTCGCCTGAGAAGGGACATGGCAGTTTTAACGACAGTCGTGTGACGGTGTAGAATACCTGGGGATGCAATTCTGTCAATTTCACCAAGCCGGGTATGATTCCAATCGTAGATATACTCATTCGTCTCGTCGACAACCCCACGAGCTGGGGATCAGTCATGACAGAGATAGCATTGAATATCTTAGGGTTGGCCAATGGCTCTCCCATACCCATGAATGATACCGAATCAACGACATTTCCTGAGCCAAGCACAGTCTGTCAATACCACACATGCGACGATAACAGTACCCACCAGTGGCTCGGAACATGAGAACTTGTCCAACAATCTCGTCCACGCTGAGCTGCCTTTTCAATCCCAACTTGCCCGTAGCACAGAAACTGCAGTTGAAGGCACAACCTACCACACACGGACAACTGACTCATTATCTTCATAGCATACAACGACATTCTCCAAGGCATGCCGAAGCTCCGCGAAAGCCTCGGACTTTGACGTTTTTGAAGTATAAAACAAGTGTTAGTTGAAATATGGTCTCTACAACGGAAAGGGTTTCCTCATGCCATGAACATATTTAACCATGTGAATGATCACTGAGTGGGTGCTCACCTATTTGGCTGGATACACATAGACTCGTATGCGAGCGGAAGTCCAACCCTACTGCCTCGATCTTGCCCCCATCCTGTCGACTCTCCAACAGGAATTTGTGAGCGAAGTCGGCAGATCCCCTATGACAAACATAATGCAGCACAAGTAGAGACGCCTAGATCAGCAGCAATCAGAGAGAGCATCCACGTACTGTTCTAGAACTCGTAGCGGTGACAAGCTTTCCCCTAGGCGAGCTTGGAGGGCATCCCGCACTCCTTGAGGGACGCGATTTATGGCCGAGGGCGAACTAACACCCTTCTTGAAGACATCCTGTATGACCAGGCCGATCTGCCATTCTGGTGTCCGCCTGAGATCACCTTTTACTTGGGAGTGTCGAATCTCATCCATGCCGTAACAAGACCCCGACGAGCCCAATGATCAATACCCCGAGCCCTTACTCCTTCTCCAAGCACTCCACTATCTCACTCAATCGCTTTGACCACGCCATAGCATGCCTCGGGATATGCTTCGACTGTGGTCGTCTGGTCGCTACGGTCGATGCCGCTTGCTGACCCTTTACGCTCACAGAATTCATGAAAGCGAACTTCAAGGATAGAGCGAATTCACCATCAGCTCGGCTGAAATATTCAATTCGGAAAATACTTCAGCCTAGAATTGTACCACGGTGATGGTACGGCCATAAGGCATGAATTCCACAACACCCAAGTCGAATATCGAAATGCGTATCGAAAGTCCTTGATCCACAATCGGGTCGAGAGGACACCACTGGTGTCACACCCTACTAAACTCATGCGTAATGGGAAGAGGAGAACGCACAACGCGTAAGGTGCCCCACCGGCGGCGACCCCGGCTACTATTGAATCCACGCAATACCACTCCTCAATGAGCACCATCAATCGCTAGGCTCTCCTATGGGAGCGCGTAACAACACATTCTCATGCATCATCACCAAGGTCGGGAGTAAAGTGTAATGACACGGTATTCTGGGAACTCCTGAGTCCACACCGACACACATTCCTCACACTCGAACACACTGTCATACCCGCAACTTCAATATGGCTCTTCACCTTATTTCCAAACTCCTTGATCGTTCCCATCTCGACCTCCCTAAGAACACGAGAACAACTTCCAACCATCGGCAAACATCTCCCATAAAGAAGACGCGTCAAGGACTATTCCTACTCGCTGCCAGCTACATATGCCCTATTTCCAACCTACCCTCGTAGGCTTATCCAACGTTCAGCCTCAGCGAGTGTATTCTCCACACTATCGTTAGCCTCCATCATCAGCTCAGTAGCCCACCTCTTGAGTACAGTCAGCCTGGTAGACAGGATAACCTGCTCAAGACCCCACCATATTCCACCCATTACACAATAATATACGACTGAACTACGGGAGAAACACCACGGCAATAACAACAACAAAACTGAGCGTTGGTTTGAGCTCGTCGACGCATGGCCATACCTTCTCTTCGAGAACAGCCCTCTGATAATCTATATATGCCTCTGGTGGGGGCGCCACTTCGATGGGCTCTTGCCGGGCTGCTCCTCCTTTCTTACCACCTTTGGCCGCCTTAGGGTCGGGTACGGGGTCTGCCAACTTGCTCGGGTCCTAAGCGCCACACTCAGCTCCCATGGGAGACCAGGCAGAGATCACGTATAGCTCTACCAACGCTCATGCCCGGTGAGTCACCTTCCATGCTGACAACTGTGCAGGTGCAGCTTCTGATGCCCTGCGGACCGCCTCTTCCAACTTGTCGATGAACGGGAAGGTCCATTCGCCTCCTCTAGCTTCACCATCATCACCTTCCGAGACGGTGTACCTGCATGGCCCTTCCCCAAGACAAGAACAACGGCCGCTCCTATTCCACGAAGAAACAACTCGAGCCTCACTTCCGAACCTCGCAGGCCGTCCAAATGACCTCAGGGGTCTCCAGTACTTCGGTACGACCACCATCAGCCCCCTCACCACAGGCAGCCTCGTCGAGGAAGGCTCGGACCTTCTCCTGATTCGTCGCAATCTGCGATAATGATTGTCGTAAATACAACATATCACCCGTCGCAGGCTGGGAATATTCGATAACAGGAAGCTAGCACTCACAGTCTCATCGTCCACTCCTAGCACGTCGATACCCTGGAGCTGCTCGCCATCACTCAGCTCGTGCAGAACAGGGCCACCGTGCTCCGAGGGCAGGACCAGGGAATAGGCATCGCATAGGAGCAGACATGCATAGTAATATCTCGCGTACCTTCTCAGATGGATGTACTAATCGACAGGGGAACAACTCGTTCAGCTGTTGCCTAGACTGAGTCGGCAGTCCCAAAGCCTACTGTCTACATATATAATGTATAACCATACAGAGCCGTACTGGTTATACAAACATCGACTTCCCGAACTTCCCGCTCCAGTTCTCGAAACAACAATCAAATCCGCCTCCCCCCACCGACTCGGCTCGGAAGAGTGCTTGAACGGCAGCAGCCATAGTTGTCAGTACTGCCTCCGCCCATCTCGTTGCCATTATCTACCACCCATCAGGGACCATCGAGGAGGTTATACCCGGGGTATAATACCCCCCCAAAGAGGTCCCACCTGCTTCCGGAGCTCTGTGGCCGCCTCTACCTTCTTATGTACGAACTCCACCACTAGGCGCTCGCAGACATCGTCAACCTTATCGACACAGAAAATGAGCTGACGGGCGCCGCCATCGTAACGGGCTCTCCCTCTCACACGAGCGTGCAGTTCATCCTTAGTCTCCTCATTCTCTCGACACATATCACTATATTCCTCCGTGAAGGCATTGAAGTCAGCTATGAAGGAATTAACAACGCTCTGCCGACCATCGACCATCTCCAGCCGTTGTATCACCAACGATCTGAGAATCATACCAACTCGGGCAGCATAACCAACGCCATGCCCGCATCATCACGCCTACCGGATATCAGCGAGGCCGCGCCTGAGGCAGTCCTTGCATTGTCGTATCCATCGGAAGGCCTGAACAGTGAGCAGCCGCCAATTTGAAGTTGAAGTGATGCTGGTCAGGAGAGCCCACCTGTCTGTACTGCTCGTCCGAGCCTTTGGGGCCGACCACTGCGGACTCCCATTCCTGTGCCAAGTACAGGATCGTACAAACATCGACTTTCTTCAGAGCTTCGACCAATGAAAAAACACTGGGTGCCTGATGACGGACAAGCTTGCCAATCTCTGCTGGGGCTAGTTGCCTCCCGACCTCAGCGACCTGTGGGGCCTCCTCCTCCTCCTTTGATACCTCCGTTCCTTCTCGGTCCAGCCGAACTTTCTGAAACAATGTCCATTAGTGCGTCTATCGATGCGCATTCCCTAGAGGATAGTATAGGTTGTAGTGCTCTACCATTACTGTTTGACAACTACCGCACACTGCTAGGCACTCGCCTTACAATATCATTAGTAGCTGCATGTATCCCCATGAGTAAACAGCAAACCATGAACTCACCTCCACAGCTTCACACAGCCTATCCAAAACCTCATCCCGAGTGCCCGACGGGATCCGCAACGTAGGGCGACCCATCGCGGCAGATGCTCGCTCGAGTGCCTCCTCTCTCTCATCCAAGGCGTGATACCTGAAGGCCACTGAGTCACACCAACCAGCAGGCACAGTCATTACAGGTGAGGTAGTGTGCTGGTAGGGTAAATCGGATCATCATAGAGATGGGTACGGCCGAAGGACATGCGATACCCCTAACAAAGTCTTGATAACAACACCTCGCACGGTGCCCACCTGCCGTTTCGGAGACATCCTCATGCTCTCATGGCTCGCGGCTGCAGGGGGTGCCTACAAGTGATAACACCATCTTGAGAGCCTCGAAAAGGGTTAACAGTCATTGTGGTCGATATAAGTATAAGCTTCAGCGACCGGCGCTGTACGGTCTCCTCCTTTTCCCAGGATGAGGAGCTACACTCACCAGAGATGCATCCAACGGCAAGACTTGATCCCTCAACATGTTGGTCCCCGATTCCCCGCCAAGATCACGGACTAGCGCCGCTACCTCCGGAGGGGCTCTACGGACAGCCTCAGCAACGATCGGTGGCGGATTAGCCTGATAGAAGGGCACCCACCCTGCTACCCGTTAGCAAGCCCTCCACCAACCTGTATGTGGAAGACCACACCAGTATCCTGGTCCACCAGCCGGCCCAGCGCCCTCCTGCTGAGCTCCTCATTAGGAACATCGATAACCTACTAACCTTTCAGCCGAATAGGCCCGCGTTCACTTACAGCTCTCAAGTCGTAACCACAATCATGCTTGTGTGCCATCGCGGAGGGCCGAGGGCTCCCAGCAAAGTCAAGGACTGCAGACGGTGAGCAGTGCGGCCCTCCTGGGCTACTTACCACGATCAAGAAGACTATCGTGCACATCCAGATGGTCAGGCGGGACGACACCAGCAAGGCGACGGGAGAGCATGGTCAACTGGCGTTCTAAGGAGGATAGCCCCCATGGGCCCGACCACCAAGGGTCAGAATAGAGCAGTACCATCATTCGGGAACCCGATGAGCACCCATCCACGTATATTTTCTGGACCAGTACCAGGGGACTGAGGAAAACGGAAAGAGATTTCAAACTCGCATCATCAATTCCATCTAGGATCCCTGAGCTCCCACCTCAGCCATCTCCTCAGCAAACACATCATTGAGTTTGGCTACAATCATGTCCACGTAAACGTCATCACTGATACAACCTACAGGGGCACAAGCATTCAACCACTTGCCCGGTCCATGAACTACTACTACTACTCCCATTCACCGTCGCATCCATTGTCTTCTGTCTGCAGTATTCCAACCCATCAATCCTTCTTTCCCTATCGATGCACTCCGCCACCAGCTCGTCCACATCGATGATACTCATATTCGGGTACCTGTGAATACCAATCGAGATCTCCACCACGACTAGGTAACCACCTTTGCTTCAACCCTCTAGCTAGAGTCCTGCGTCCTGATAGGTACTTCCCGCCCAGTAAGACTCGAATACCACACATTGGCAGGAGCTGACAGAACGAGCAGGCATGTGTCAGCCCTAGTACGGTCCAACCGTGAACCGTAGCAGAGCCCCATGGGCAGGAGCGCACCACCATCATCACGACGACGACGATACTTACAGCAACATTCTCCTTTGTGAGCTTTTCAGGATGTAGAGTTCGGCACACGAACTCTACCAGGGCTGCCAGCCTGTTATTGACCAAGTCACTACGAGGCTTCCCCTCCTCCTGCTGCTCCTCATCCTCGATATCCCTCCACAGAGCCACCGCAACAGGGTCCTCGTCTCCTCCCCCGAACACCTCGGTGAGAGCTGTTTTGAGCACGTACTAAACAACACCATTGCTCAATAAGCCGACAGACTTTGCCTTACCCTGCTAGCAGATGCCTGTTCCGGCGACAACAACCATGCCTTCCCCCGACCCTTGATATAATCATCCACGTCCATCCTGTCCAGCTGGTCCTCCCCCTCAGTCGTTGTCTGGCCATGGACCTACTCAGCGGAACACCAATACACATCCATGATCACCTCAGTACCTTCATCCTCTCCGAAACTGCTATAGGCATCCCACCAAGCTGCTGCATGGACTCCTCTCTCACGCCTTCCTCAATCACATTAACCTCAGGAGGGCTCACGATACTATCCAGAGCGAGCACCTGAGTCCACCGAGCTCCTACGTTGCCACTACATTTGAAGTCCTAGTCAGTACATGTGTATTTGCACGGCGGTTCTCAAGGAACAAGCCCTCCACAAAGACACGCGTCCAACCCCTCCAAGTGTCCTCTTCCATAAAGCTATCACCCGCATCAATAACACCTAAAAAACGACATGGACAACGTCAGGATACACCCTCCCTCTCCATGTACCACCTCTATGATGAACAGCACTAACAGCAAGACATAGCATTTGTTCGAGGATTGCCTCCACCATATCGCAGACCCTGCTACTGCCACAAGCTCGAGCCTGCCGCTTGAGCATGCGATACTGCCTTCTATGGTCCTAAGGCAACCTCGAGATTAACAGGGCACAGTAGCCCAGCAACGTCTACGTCCATCCTCAGCTTGAAGCTCCTCAAGGCCTCGCCAACAAGCGCCATCTCTCTCCCCTCCAACATCTCTTTACGCTCCTCCTCGTACTTCCGAATCCTAGCCAGGCGGAGCGAAGCACTCTTTTGCAAGTAGTGTTCATAAGCCCTCATCTTGTCAAACACCTACACACATAATAACAGACCCCATACTCAACCTACTAACCGTCCTCTTGAGCTCATCCTCGGCTCGGCAATTCTCACGGACCGCGCACTCCTCCATACGTCGGGTCCAATTCTCAGTCATACGGCTCCTATCCGCCTCTTCTATCTGATCGACTGAACTCGGTAAAGATACAGATGAGGTCCGATCACCTACCGTCACCATCACTTGCCTACGCCACTCATCGCTCCGTTCACGAGCTGCATTCCCAACAGCCTTACTGCGTCTCATAGCCTCCATCAGAGAGCCGCCCTCAAGGCTACTCTCATCCTCCGGAACATCCATCGCCGAGCCAAGACGATCCTCAAAGTCCCGGATGGTCGCGGACAGATCTCGGGCTGCTGCCTTCCTCATCCTCCTCACCGCCTCACGAGCCGCTGCCGCCCGAGACTACATACAAAAACATGTTCGCCACTTCCAGAACCCACCGAACATGCTGCTGCCAACCCTTCCTCATAGAGACGCTAGTATCCTCAACAAACATCGTAGTAGCAGGAGTTCCCTTTACGCCGACCTTCCTGAACTTCGCATCCTCCTCCTCACGCTGATAGCGGCTCCTAAGACTTTCCTCCCATCTCTGCTGATGGGCATCCTCCCACTCACTAGCCTGAGACCACCACCACCACTGTAACGGCTCAGTCTATCCCCGTATCAATCTTCACCCTATCACATACCCCAGCCGCTTCACAGTAGACCCCAGCTTACCAATTTCTTCTTCCTCCTTTCATATGCCAATGTCTCATCATGGTTCATAAGCCGTCTATGTTCGGCCTCATGCTCCTCCAGCCTGCCACCGTAAATGCCATCACAGCTGTACAATAGGCACGAACACCAATAGTCTACCCTACATCGACAGCTCTCTAGCTCTCCTCTCCATATCTCGACGATGCTGCTGGAACTTATCCAACTTACGCGCCAACCGGGCAGCAGCCGATGCCGCTGACTGTGACATTTAAGTGAGCAACAACAGAGACTTGCTAACAGACTGTAGAAGGCATCAAGACCTGGTCCCTACAACCTCCCAAGTAACGAACACCCCGATTGACATCTACAGACAGCTGATATGAGCGTCTCCGAGAATGCTGAAGATGGTCGCCTAAATACAATGCCGTTATGCTACGCTCGGGCAGACCCGCAGCATTCATAGTAGATGCACACGAATTGCACAAGCCTCAACGATCTCCTACACGACGAGACTACTCCCATATTGACATCACAACAAACACCCCAATGCGTTTGAAAAATGGTCATCACCTCTCAAGCCAGCTCAGTCGGATTTAATGTTGCGGTATATCGCAAAGACGAACTTGCACGCCCCCAGGTACCCCACAGTTCCACAAAAAAGCGTCATTCCCAGACATATTACGCTGGTAGTACAGACGTAGTATAACCACTGGGAGAAGCCGGACATTTGAGTCGAATGATAGTAATAGTATATTGAGTATATAGCAATATAGACACCGATGCTCGAGCTGCATAGGAAGCTCATCCACTGCCAACGATAGTCTTCATTATTCAATAGGAGATACACGCATGTTATCGATACACATATCACGACCATAGTGAGAAGCCCAAGAATGGCCAGCATAAACCCATACACGTAGTAGATCTTATTGTAGGACCAAAGACTAGAAAAGACAAAATACATCTCGATAAAGACGCATCCAAAAGGCACCAGACCTGACCACGACGACGATGACGATGGTGATGAGCACTGCTGCCACGACAGAGGTCCATTGTGCTCACCTGCTGCTAAGACAAGACCAGGTATCAAGAATCGGCGTTGGATGGGGATGGGCCTCTTAAGATGATGCACTCGACAAGGGAAGCTACGATCAGCCGCAGCCCGTCTACCCCACAGCGTCCCTATCATATGGAGGGGTACGCACACCTGACAGGAACATTAGATACCCCTCAAGGATGATACATAAAAATTGGTGAGGACGCTGAGGATAGAAAACGGCTGCCATCTTGTGAAATTACGATACCACTCCTTGTTGAAATATGGTAGAGGTATTGATGCATTCTCCGGAACTCTTCCATCTTAGTAACATCTTAATAACCAATTGAAAATATAAGTTTCTCGTCGATGAGAAAGAACACCGAGTTAGTTCTCGTCCTGTCTGCACGCTGCCATCGAACTCGCTCGTCATTTACTATGTTCACTCCCCTCGACGAGAATTTTGGAAAAATACTACTTAGTGGTAGTTGGATAGATACTGATGTTGATTTAATAGTAACTATTAGAGCCCCTCTCCCCATAGGCCTGTCTCTCTTACCCCAAGGAAGACCATGAATAGCAGGAGTATAGTCTTAAAAGGCATAGCATAGGTTAATCCCTTTATCCATGCTGTCGTATTCACACCCATAAACATAAGGCAGAGTACAGCTGGTAGGAAGAGGACTTGATACGCCATCGCTTTCTTCCATGTTTTACCACCAAACTGCCGGTATCTGCAAAAAAGCAAGCTCGCAAGCTATAAAAGTCTCTGTAGAGCACTCACAGTCTGCCACCTGCATACCCCGCGAGTATTGTCGTGAACACATACATGAACACAGCCGAGGCTCTCGTCGTTCCACGATGTCGATAATATCTAACATAAACTATGTCCATGTATACCACCCATAGGTCTTAGTACGTATTGGTGATAGCCAGTATAAGCACCCCTGCTACTGTAGCCGCGATGTGCACTCCTGTGCTGACCAATACAGAGAGCTGCATCAGATAGGGCGGTCGACGGAACACATCCCCGTGTACTTGCTTCCATCCCGAATCGTCCGCTGCGGATTATAACATGTTTAGTGCCTGGTAATCAGCAAACACTTACTCGCGCGGTCCAGACTCTCGAGCTCCTCTTGCTCGGTCATGGTATATTTGGTGAAATCCCTCCGTAACGTCTTCATCAGAATAATGCTCACAACAGCAATGAGGAATAGGCAGAGCATGAAAGAGTTTACTATAGAGAACCAATGGACCTGATGCGGCGACCAGTCAACAATCAGTCGAAGCCTCGAGACCACCTTATGTTCGAAGAAGTTGGTTTCCAAGTACTTGTCAAATCTAGACGAGTACGGTTTATCAGTATCCTCCCACTGTACTGAGTAGGTAAACTTCAGCTCTGTACCCTCTACCAACGGTACTGGATTGCCAGGAATCACATCTACACTGAAGACCTGAACACCAACAGCATATCCTGTCCAAAGCAACCTCATAATGCAATCAACCGAGGCAATACGCTGATCACTCTAGTTAATATTCAATACGAATTCTCAATCCCAAAATGGCGACAAAATTAGACTTTGTGAGGCAAATCAACATGGAGCTGTACCTGTCCACCGTTCTTTTGCATGACGAACTCCCTGTGAGTATAAATAGACTCTGGTCGATGACTTACTGACAAAAGAGTGGTACTCTACTACAGCTACCACCACTTTCTACTACCTCCACTACCCTCCAAGAGAGCTCCAGCACCACTACCCGGCTGTCCAAGAAAAGCCCAAACCGGTAAGTCATCAATATACATACCATACCTATCGGAAGAAGGGCGTAATTCCACCAAGAGCAGTCCTCTCGAATCACCAGTAGTTATCATTGATCGCCTTCTTCAAAGATACGACCTGCTCTTTAGTCAAGACCATACTACACGTTGGAGTCTCAGGGACGTTCTCTGCGTGAATGACCGATTGCAGATCTTGAGCCCGATAGATGCAGCAACTTACTGCCGAACTTGATGTCCAAATACGGGTTCTCTATAAAGTCATGACCTTCCATCTCCTCACCAATGCTAAGCGACCCCTTGTTGCCGTCCTTATCATCTCCCACTTCACATAACCCTAGCTTAGTGTAGAGTATGTCTCTTGAGGGTGTTATAAGCCCGACTAGAGAACACACGACACTGCTATCACGTCAGAAGGAACGGTAATATGAGCTTGAGAGTTGAACGGATCGGCGTGTCACAGCCATCGGTTTATGGCTCTGTGCGTACTCAAGCATACAACTACCCGTACCACACTTCATCTTAGGTAGTGATAATGATACTACTTTTATCCATCCACACGATAATATCCGCTCCTATAGCATACTCGGTCTCCTCACTCACAGTCAATACTGCTAGCATCAAAAGGTAGAGGGCCAGCAGCAGCACATGACGACAGGATGATCGTTCCATCATCAAATATGCTATGATTAACCCGAATCCCCGAGGGCCAACAACGATAGACTCCACACACTGATACAAGCCTCTCATCACAAGGACATATGCATTAGATCACTCAAGGGTGCAGCTCCTCCGCTACATTCACCACTACCCCCATGAATTGAAACTACTGACACCACCCAAAGCACGATGATGACGTAACACACACCTTTAATGTAGTACCCAACGACGGTTACCGCTTCATGAGCACACCACCTATCCCCAGGGCTATGTAGGGGGATGACAAAGCTCTTTGGCAACGGTTATCTCTACGAGAGACCCCACGCGAAAATCGATCCTAGTCCGTCCGAAGCATCCATTGGCGCTAACACACTGAGCTCCTATATCAAGAGCACCTTCTGCCGTCATCATCAACATCAGTGATCGCCCATAACCGATACCGTCCCATTGACAGATCTCGTCCTTGCAACCTGCCCCTCTTCTAGTACTTCTATCGACCAAGAGCCTTCACAAGTTGATGTAATACTCGAATCGGAATCACATCAAGGTAGACTTCCTATGTCCATTCCTCGCCTTCCGGCTGCACTTCATCCCTTTCACAGTTACCAGAATCATCCCGTATAGTACACCATCTCATGAGAGAATACACCTTCACTCACCTGTCATGCAGTCTCCAGAAGTGACTACCCCAAAGGGCAGCAGCAAAATAGCTGACCCGATCATTGGTACGGACCCTATCACACAATACGTTTGACAGTAACCACCATTCCTCTGTCCAACCCAAGGTGTGACTCAACTCAAGATGGATAGAATGGTAAACGTTATTCCTACGGTTACGCTGGTGGTAGCAGGAGTGCAGTCTTATACCTCGTCATCCTGTAGGAGCATATTGGGGATGCCCTTCGTTATAGGATACACTCTATCGCACTTAGGGCACTTCAGGTCCGCCTCCAAGATGTGATAGTCTATTATTACGTCATGGACAGCCTAAGAATTCACATATCCCTCATACCGCACCCTCATCAACAACATTACCTTCAAGAAGTTCTCATCCTCCTTATCACTATCCGTGTAACTAGGCGGCAATGATTGTGTCAAGCCTTCGCATTGAGGAAGGGTAGCCACAAGAGCATCCCACTCAAGCTTGTCCAACATGTGCCGGATGAAGTCTGGATTGAACTCCGACTCTTCCACTTTGAATGCTGGTCGCTCCTGAATTGCAACTAAACTGAGGTCCACAAATATTCACCTTCTCCTACCTGGGGCTCTTCGGGCTCTGGTGAGCTCTCGTCAAGCGAGTCCTTCATCCCAACATCCCCCTTCTCCTTAGGGCATATACGAAGTGGATACCCTCCAGAGCACTGCTTCCTATTGCACATCATCAGGTTGTGTGTCAACAGCCTCATGCCAACGTTAGAAAGACGAAATCGATTCCAACTGCTACACATAACAACGACCCTCTTCGAAACAACTCAAAACTTTCTTGCTAAAACTCTTGCTTTTGCTCTCAGAATTATTCAATTCAACCGCAGTGCTGCTACCCACTTGAGCGACATATTCACATTTTTAGCGCGCGCCCCAGATGAGGGAGGTGGACCGCGGATCTCCGGCCCGCTCTCATCCTCGACATACAGTTAGCCAATTGAATGAGTTAGATTTGTGTCGGAAATCTCCAATCATTGGGTCCAAGACAGATATTCCTCGGACACAGCGTAACCACCCGTACTGTATTGAAATGATGACACAGTAAGACACTTCATCTCTATCTACTCCAAGGAGCAAAGTCTGATTGATCACCACAACATCGTTTACTCCTGATACCCTCCAACAGTCGTGTGCTGTCTAATTCATCATTCCTTAAGTACATCAAGAAAAAAGGGCCAAATAAGAGGATTAACAACGCGAAGACAATGCATGAGGACAATGAATAAAACTCTGAGAGAAAAAGACGGTTAATGGTAGTAGCTCCAGAAGGCGGTGCCAAAACCCTCATTGCCGCAGCTCATACAATCGTAGGACAAGTGGCTTCGATGGCGGCGGACAACAACAACTCATAAAAACATCGAGAGGATCTCAGGTGAACTTATGTACCCAATACCTACCATTGCTGCTACACGTTAGAAATGAGCGGTCTACAACGAAAAGCACTCAGAGAGATAATGATACCAGAAACGGCGAACCATAAATGGACAGAGGTGGTCGTCAGCAGTAGTAGTAGGACAATAATAATGCTCTACTGCAAAGGTGACGAACACTAACGTTTAACAACAATACACGCTCTTTCGAGGGGGGTACCAACCGCAGCTCGGTAGAGTATTGAGCGTGATGATAGTCGAAGTTTAAAAATCCTTCCGAAATGTAAAGGAAATAGGTAACGTACGAAGAGGAAGACATATAGAGATAATGGTGTTAACTTCACCGTAAATGTTATCGGGGTTGTTGGGCCGCCTCTTGTGAGAAGCCTAACTGGTCCCGTTATCGGGGAGCTGGCGTTCGGAGAACACCCTCAACCATAGACCTATACACACCTTTCCACTCAGGTACTACACTTAATGATGACCTCACCTCGGTAGGGCGGAAAACGGTGTCAAACCTAGGGCTGTCCCAGGACTGACCAATGGTAGCGGTGACGACGGCAGCTGCTGTGGTGGTGGTGGTGCCATGTACAACTACATAAGAGCTATAATGAGCACCCAAAACAAGGATTGTGTCTTACATTCTTGTCACCATTTCCTACCTGACCATGCTGTACTATACCTTTCGTCAGACCCAAAACATCCACAGAAAGTCCCATTCCGAGATCCGCTAGACGGGAGTTCTTCAAATAACCAACAGATCTTGCTGATAGAGTGAGAGTACTGCCATCATTGCCAGGCACGCCCAACGTTGTATCGCCCTAAACGCCATCATATCGCGTGAATGATTTATTTCCATACCACTCCTTACGTAATAATTCCTTCCTGCTTGGGAGAACACGTTGCCCTGTGTATCATTCTTTTCCATACCCGATGGCTGAGAGCAGTATACCCCATAGGACTATAACGAGGTACACTCACTGACTCGGCAGATATTTTCATATCATCTGCAGTAGTGTTATCATGTACTATATCCTTCTCCAACGGCACAGGGGTAGATGGGCACTGTATGACCTCCGGATGAATCAGCGTAACCTAAAAAAAAACCCTCAGGACTACTTCCTCCGAGAAACTCCTTAGTACCTTCCCGCTAGCCTTCTGACCCTCAATAACGAAGTCCTTAGGGAAGCGCAATAGCAGCTGACCAAGTCTTGTCCGATTCAGCTTGAGGAACATCCTAAAGGGTCAACTTCGACGAGCTTATATTCTCATACCACACCTACCGTGATTGTGCTGAGATACGTGTACCT